AAAACAAGAGAAGTAAGGAGTAAAACAAATTAATTCAGACTGATTAATGTCTAGAAGATTACAGAATTAAGTAAGGACTTACACGAGCGGTGAAGATGAGTGTTGACGTATGTCGGTAGAAGGGACACTTAAATTTTGGGAACTGCTCGGAGTGTCCTCCTCTGCCACACGATGTACTCGGCATCCGCGGCTAAGTGTATCTATGGAGTGCTAGAAAGTTCGTCTCTCTATTCCCACTAAATCCCATATGAACATGAGTATAAGATTGTCATCTTCTTTCAACTACATTTTATTAACCTCCTTTTGTATATATTAATATTTAAAGATTTTTTTTAATGTGGCTTCTACGATACTTTAAAGAAACGAACAAACCTTACATTACATCATAATAAATAGTACGGACGCATAACAATCAAAAACAATAACAAGCCCGTGATATAGATATTTGATACGAGGCCGAAAGGTTCTATATGATTAAACGATTTTGATTTGAGTTTATTACGGACATTAAAACCACTAGAACAAAAAAATCTATACTAAATAAAACAGTTCAATTGTTAATGAAGTTTTACAAAAATGTCAATCATGACTTTATCATATTTGTGGGAGTACAACATCTGGGGCTGCATTTATAAAATTATTTTATACAGCCCTGGATCTTCATTTTATTCGAGGCGGGGAAAAACTAAAAAATGTAGCCACCTTAACTCTCCCCAGGCCTCCCCATGCGGTCAACATTTTTGCAATATACATACATATTTACGTACAATTTGTCCAATTAGTATTACTGTAAATGATTTTGACTTTTTTAACATTTTCAAATGCATTGTACACAAACAATTTACTTGACGTCCTTGAGTGGCAAATTGTCAAAGGTGCGTCAAAAACGATGAATTATGTATTCATCTGTCAAGTGCGAATTTACCGCCCTGAGCATGGCTCCCTTTGTTGCACCCCCTTAGATCCGGGGCTGTATAAATGTCGTACTGTTTTATATATAAAAAATTATACGAGTACAAAGTTGCGTACTCAGCTAGTATATAAAATAATGGTCACATTAAGTACACCTTAATATGACTAATATTTCATCATAAACACGTGATTAGTACAGCACTTATGGCTCATTATTTTGCTATCGGGTAACATCGAGAAATACAATGCATGCACCTTGACATTACTGTAATGTTTGCTCTCACAATGATCAGCGTCTGTGATCTTGAATATACTTGACTTGAATGCCACTGTCGGCAAATTGATTTTAATCACTGCAATTAGTAGAGTAAAAGTACATCACCCATGTATTAATATGAAACTACAATTGTTGTATCCATTACTGTTGACAAGGTTGAAAGAAATCCCTCTCAGGGAATAAGTCTGCCATTGTACTTATTCATTTCTCAAGATTATTTCGTATAAAAAAATATTAATGTACAATAAAATGTTACAGAGATACAAACTTTACAATGAGTCAATATGAATAGAAATTTTGTAATAACATTTACATATACATGCAATAACAATGTAATTGACAATTGTCGGAACAGGAAACATACATATGAGAAAATTTATTATTGAGGGGAGTTTGCCAACGTAATAGAATACAAAACTATTTTTGTCAGTTTATCTGTGGATGTGTGTAGTGCTAATCTCAGAAATAGCTTAACTGATTTAGACATGATTTTTATAAATATAGTGCTGTGCTTCATTTAAAATTTTGAGTCTTATGATTCCAAAAACAAAATATAGTTATTTAATAATATAGTAATAAATAAATAGGTATGTAGGTGATAACATAAAAAAATAACACCATCGAAGACTGACATGATTACAGTAATTGAGTAAAATCATCATAATCTTATGGAATCCCATTATGAGTAGAAATATTTCATAATATAACGTAGCTATATTACATATAATTATGGTTTATTGAACATTATTATTATCTATTGCGGTTGCGTGTTATTTACAATTCATATTAAAGTTTAATAAAATAATTTTAGGTACTGGAAAAGTTAAGAAATCTTATGCTTCATTATGATTTCCAAAAATAAAAACATTATATTTGTAATTATTTACAAAGTTACTACGCCTCGGTCTCGTCGGATGTATGGTATCTTTAGACCACATAGTTCTCCTCCCGAATCGAGATTTAAGTATCTGAAAAAAGTCTCTAGTTTCTCCATCAACTGTAGTCTCCCATGTAGAAGGTCTGTCACATTCTTTTGGATAAGTTGTCATGCAATATTTAGTTAAATTTTTATGTTTAATAGACTCAGTTACTTTTTCTATAGGTTCGAGCCCAATTGTCATATTAATATTATTATCACTTTCACTTATATCTGGCTGAATTATAGAATTTGTTTGTATAGTAGGTAGACTTGTTACGTTATGACGATAATGTACTGTACTTTTGGATTCGTTGGTAATTATGTCCTTAATCTTTGAAGTCGAATCTGAAATTATAAGTCGAGCAGAGTTTTTTTTTCTTATGGATAATGATGGAATGGTGCACCAGCTTGCGCTAACGGTTTGCTTAGGCGAGACGCCAGTGGTGGTAAATTCATCATGATTTTTTTCTATTTATCTATTTTAATATACACATAATTATTATAAATCTTACCTTGCTTATCAGCCAAAAGAGAACTATTAGAAAAAATTACTGTATTCTTGACATTATTATCATAACTATTTCTGTTTCGTGACTTATTCATTTCTGTCACAAAATCGGAGCTAAATGTGCTGGTAGTTGTAATTTCCTTTTCATCTATAAGATTATTTTGTATATCTTCGTTATGGTCGCTAAGATTATTATGATTATTATCTATATTTTCTTTCATTATATTGTACATAAATTTTATATCACTACTTATAGTCTCATTCTTATTTGTTTTATTGTCTTCACTTATATATTTTATTGCGTCTAAATCTGTAATAATATTTATCTTGATAAATATTATTCATAAAAAATATTACATTCAATACATTATCTAATAAAATCAATACTTTACCGACTAACAAGCTTTGATTACTTTGTTCTGTCGTTGTATTCAGGTAACTTATACCTTCATTTGTCATACATTTTGGCTGAGTTATTGGTGTATAAATTGTAGTAGAGCTATTTATTCCTCTAGTACATTCACGCTCATGAGCAGTGGTTTCTTCAACAGAATATAAGGACAGAATAGGGTCTTTTCTAGAAGTCGATATGGAAAATAAATTGGTCGATTCATTTATTGATTGTGAATCTGTTGAAATTTTAGTAGTAGATATTGACACTTCAAATGTAGAAGTTGTGAGTGAAGATAAGTAAGGATATAGATCAGTCGTAGTATTTTCTGGTATAGTTAATGTATCTGGTACTATGTCATACATTTGACTTGTTGTTTGCGCAGCCATACTATCATCAGAATTATTCTCTTCTATACTTAAATTGATATTGAGGGTAGGATTTGTATTTTCCGTATGAAAATTTCTTTCTGATAATAGTGTCTTATTTTGATTCGTAGTTAAGGTTCCCACATCGGAAGTGTCTGAATTAATAGAAGAATCCAAATCTATCATTTCATCTGTACTATTCTTTACATGGAAAGTATTACCATGTTGTCCATCATTTTCTTTAGTATATCTATTAACACATTCAGATTTGTCGATTATTATGTAATCTGTAATCGTATAATCATTATAAAACTAATATGTACCAATCAACTATCATACATGTTAATATACAAACATGCCATCATATACAGTTATTATTTATAGTATGATATAGTATACCTTTTTTATAATCACAATTATACTCATGCATATCGCATGCATCTAAAAATAGTCGTTTGTCAAATTTTTTTACGTCGCCTCCACATTCAAATATACCTGTATGATTACATGTATAAGCCAGATAACATGGATCATCGAACTAAAAAAAATATAGGTATTATTTACGCTTTCTGAAAATAAATTATATCATATTGAAAATTCTAATTCAGGAAACATTATAAATATAAACTTACTGATACAAAATGTTGCAGTGAAGGCTTAATAATTATTAAAGTTTTGGCAACTATTTCAAATAACACAGCAAAAAGTTCAAATGGTTTCATAGCATTTGTTTCTAATCAAAAAGACAACATTTTCTACGCTCCTATCGAGTTATTTATTATTGAAGGCCACTTCAAACATTTTCATTTAAAATTAATATAACTGTTTCGTTCAATATCTTACCATTGGATACATAACAGAAAACCTATAAAGTGTAAGTGAAAAACAATGAAATATTTTAAATTATTTATTTTTATTGACACTTAAAGTGGTTTATGATTATGATTCTAATATAATTATAACTACCAACAATACTATTACGACTTAGTAGAAAAACATTCTTTGATGTACACAAAAAATGTTCTTTTATTTCTCTAATCATTATATTATTAACAGATAACTCATGTCTATTTTTTTAAAACGGTTAAGCACTAAAGTAATTAATTATATAAAATAGAAAAATGAATCTATACTGTATCATCATTAATATGTATGTTGTCTACTTTATAATTATGCTATACATTTACTCTTTAAAGTCGTACTTTCTAGAGCATTCTCCGATTACTTTCATGATAGGCAAAGTGGGTTATTTCTTAGTAATTAAGAAACTTAAATAAAATTCCGGTATCAATATTTTTTTGGGGTGTACTGCCTGAATCTTAAGCATAAAGATTACAGTCTCCTTAATTTTCTTCACCCGCAAAATAAAAAATATAATGATAAATCTAAACTACATTTCTTCAGCGTACAGATTTGTGGTGAAACAAATTCTTAGTATTGGTAGATCTACGTCTCATTCAATATCCAATAATCCGTATTTTTAACATCCAAGCTCCTTTTCAAAGTATAGATAACCAGTTTTAGGTATAAATTTTACCTTAATAAAAAATATCTAATTATATCAATCGTTTACTACGTATATACTATTATATAATAATTATTATGAAGAGATCGTCAGATTTTTATTAGTTTTCTAGATAATCAGAATCCACAATGACATACTTTTTAGTAACTGCTATAGGCGCAAGACCTTTTATGACCCTTATTAACTTCTTCCCATTTCTAAAGAGTGTTTCTTTCTTCAACACAATTGTTTTCCTTTGAATGTTGCTAATTACTTTACTCTTTTTTATAAAACGTTTATTTTTCTGTATCTGTAGCATCATTGTGGTAGATTTTTTAACTTTTTCCTTAACATTCTTTATTCTTCTCATTTTTGCTTTCGGAGTATATCTTGTTTTGCCTTTCAGCATACGCAATGGCAAAGAAGGTGACGGGATCGAAGGCGGTCTTATCATTCTTCTGGGTTTGTTATGGAACACATAATGTTGGCCCATTCTATGAAATCTATGGTTGGGACATGTCGGATTAGATGGGCAAGGTGGGTCCATGGGGCAAGATGTCGGTGCGGTGAAACAGTCTGAATAATTCAGTAATTCATATTCTGAAATAATAAAACATTTTATTGTCGGCTGCAATTAGTTTTTTTAAATTTAATATTAAAATACCATATAGTAAATGCAGTACGGTAATATTCGCTCAATTCAACATAAAATCTCACAAGAATTAGCATAATTCCCACAAGAATAGGAACTAAACAGTTCCGCATTGACCAATCCATGAGAAAAAGGTTTTAATAATGAGAAATAGTAGACATTAAATTTAATGAAAAACTTATGTTCACAGGGACTTTAGTTTATACAATTATAAGAATTTTAAAAACTACTTTGTTACAATTACAATACAGTCTAATATAATGCATTTCAGTCATAATGATACAAGATACCTGAACGTTATGATTAATCTAGACCTAAATATAATTGTTTTACACAAACAACTCGAGAACTATAATAAAAAACATTATATTAGCTGACCTGACAAACGTCGGTTTGCCATATAAATGATTTCTGGATAGGCTACCCTTTTCACCTAGGGGTATAAAAAATAGCTTACCGTTTACTCTCAGACCTACCATTTATTCTACACCAAACATTAAAATGTTTCGTAGGAGTTCGATATCAAATACTGTAACACGAGATTTTATGTATTAGATATTAGCTTCATTTTATTCATTAAATTTTAAAAAATAGTAGCGATATGCTAAAACTACAGCATGGGGTTTTCAAGAAGGGTATATTAAGGTTTCTTAAGGATCGGCAACGCGCATGTGATACCTAGTGTTTCAGGCGTTCATAGGCTGCGGTAACCATTATGCTCGATTGCCACCATCGTAGTATAAAAAAAAATCGCTAGATGGTCTCGGTGGTCTAGCTGTTTAGCACACCGCCATACTTTCTCTGGTCGTCATTCATGAATACAAACATTTGTATTTGAATGTGATTGTTTATATCGGTCTGGGTGTTTTCTATAATAAATATGTATTTACAAACAAAGAATATATCTATTTCTGTATATATATATATATCTGTATTTGTACCAGTTATCTAGTGTCCATATCACAAGCTTTAGCTTTAGCTGAACTTGGGTCTAGATAGTGTGTGAATTGCCCTGAGATTATTATTATTATGCTCACGTTTATCGTGATCACAAGAAAACTCTAATAAGTCACATTCATCGGTGAAAAGTTTGAGGTGTCCTTTGTCTTTCTCCCGCCCACACTCCGGTATCCATGTGTGGTTGCATAGATCTGCCAACATGCATGTGCTTAGCGGCTAAAATAAAATACAACACACTTATTCACTCCAATAAGTAAAGTAAAATAATAATGTTTAAGATACTATATCTGCATATACTAAAAACGTTAAATATACCGGAGGTACATACAGAAAACAATTTAATTTGCAATCAGGTGGTTTCATTTTTAAGGCCTGTCAAAATTCTACAAAATTAAAATGCACAGTAGCTGCAAAAGGAATCAACTTAATTTACGTCGTCTTAATTTTATCTGTCCATTTTCATTTCCATTTCAAAGGAAACTTCTTTGAAATGAAAAGGAACTAAGTGAAACATTTCGCTAAGAAGCTTTACACTAATGCACACTCGAGATATGCTTTTAAATAGAATAAAAAAGTTTTATTTCATTCCAGAAGACCTATTTTTTACATAAATCTTTATAGTTCTAAGCATTAACGTTAGTATAGTAAAATATTACATTAGCAGTAGTATAGTAAAATGTCTATTGAATGAAAAATAATTCTTCCTCAAAATGACTCTCATCCAAATTAAATCTTCCCCAAAAGGTCTCGTCTCCTGAAGATGAAACATTTTGGAGAAATTATTCATATCAAAGTTGCCTGCAATAAAAATGCTAAGCTATATAATAAGTCTGCTATATACACCTTTATTTTTGTTGTGCATTTAATTTTAATAAATAAAAAAATATATAATTACTATTTAGTTGTAAGATTACCCACGGTTCCTATTTTGCCTTCCTTCATGTAACGTCTTCCTATACTCTGATTGCGAATATTGTGTGTTTTATTACAAATGAACAGTTTTCGACTACTTGCTTTATTTTATTTATACGACTTTTATCTTCTTTGTCTGCTTGATATTCATTACAAATTTTCGAATAGTTTTTTTCAGCACAATTGCATCCATTTCAATCAAGATAAGATAAAGAAGAAAAAGATTTCTTTGCACATTGAAGAAGGTCTATAAAGAATATCAATAAATTTGTCACTCTGTTATATTTGTGAAAAGCCCCTCTACTAGCCTACTATACTCCAGCCCCTATTCTATTTATAATGTTTGTAGAGTGTATAAATTTATTGTTCATTCTTATTTTAATTCCTTCTAACTATGTCTAATCCTAGTAATATTATAATAATATATGCGTACAAAAATGTTTTCTGTTATACCTCTTTTTTGTGCACGTCGTTTCTAATCTTGACATCGGCAGAAAATCACCGTCTCATACTGCCATACGATGGAAGCCATATTAATAGAAAAAAGAAGAAGAAGAAGCCTCTAGACACGAAAGGAATCATAGTTACGTCTTAAAACCATTATTCATCGAGAATTTATGCTTAAATATTATAAAACGCTAATAAAAACTCCTAGGCCAAATTATATAAGAAAAACGATTTTGAAACTTGAATTTGTATATTACAAAAGGATGTCCTTTCAATATTAATATGATTAATACATAATTCAAATGTACCCATTACATATACATATACCTACTATTATGATGTACCGGCATTATAACAGACTTCGTCCGTATAATAGAAAATGTAAATTGACAAATGGAATAAAAAGTATCACATCTAAGTTAAAAAGTTCGAAACAAAACGAACCTATAAGTTCTAAACACACATAACCAGAAAAAGAGGAGAACAATGAATAAATATTTCCATGATACATTGTACGTACATGAAAATAATCGCAAAATCCCAATAGAAAACCTTGTTGAATTATTAAATATCTTACCCAAATAAAATGTTGATTCGACGGCAACGGGATGAAGAGGGTTACTGAAAACGTGAAATGGGGTATAGAGTATTAAATTAACTTTTATACAGCACTCGAAACGAGTTGGCGTGCCATCTAAAAATGATGACTAGAAACAGGTAAGCAGTATGCAAAGTCGATGACAAAAGTTAGTTTTAAATTAATTTTAAAACTCTTATTACATTTCAATAATTTGCAATCTTTTGCCGAGAATCAATTCAACACCTCGTTAAAGGCTTTACAAATATAAACAAATATACCTAACCAAAATTAAATGACTAAACGTCATTCCAAACTTATTAAAAAAAATGTCATTAAAAAAAAGTTAAATATTAAAGAGTCGTCTGCATGAGTTACCTCAGTTGCACTTACATCGTATACAGTAGGTGCAAATGAGGTAACCCAGCAAGTAAGTAAGCTGTATTTAGGTTGTAGGGTGCATTAGCCAGCGAAATTACAGAAGAGTCCGTGACATCTCTGTCCTCTGGAATGGCAACGCGTGAGCGATATCACTGCTCGGCTGCCACATGCTAACGTGATGTAGGTAGTGCTGTCATCGCTTACCACCAGGTGGGCCTCAGCTTGTTTTCCATTCCAATTACATTAAAAAAATTAAGCTTAGTGAAAATTTTAATAGGCTCTTCAACTGGTACAATTTATTAAGAGATTTTATTATTATTAGACGAGCGATTTTTCCAATTTATGCTTACTAAACTCTTTATGACTGACTCTATCCAATGTTTGTTCTTACGGGATTCAAAATTTCTCTTCTCATCGACTATAAATTATTACTTATTTCAATTAGATTTCAGTATTAATTAACTGCGGAAACTTTAAGACCATTAAGAGCTATATTTCCTTCAGGAACTCTTGCAATGTAAAATGTTATCATGCTTACCTAACAAATAAAATATTTATGAAAAGTTCTCTTTTACTTACCTATTATAAAGACGCAATAACATAACATATTTTATTAACATTGTGAAAAAATGTGATACAATATTGAACTCAACTACAATCCATATCACCGTTTGTAAAATACTTGTATAATATATTCGTCTAAGTAAGTAGCTATAAATTTGTGAAATCAATTTATTCCATTGAATATTTCACGCTAAAGTGGATTAGGTTCAGCCAATAAAAAACAGCTACCTCGTTCTTTGTATAATTCAAGTTAAGTGGAAATAAAATGTGATTTGGTCATTGCCATCAAGAGAGTGCCTAATAAGAATATAATTTTGGAATCTTATCTTTTTATTAGATAATAGTTAGCTATGTCCGTTCTTGTGATATATCATCATCATCATCATCGCAGCCCGGAAGATGTCCACTGCTGGACATAGGCCTCCCCCAAAGATCTCCACGACAATCGGTCCTGCGCTGCTCGCATCCAATGCCTTCCAGCGATCTTGACCAGATCGTCGGTCCACCTTGCTGGAGGCCTTCCCACGCTGCGTCTTCCGGTGTGATATATATGAAGCCAAATTTCATTAAGAGCTGTTAAGCCGTTTAGAAGTAAATAAATAGCAAACAGATGGTCAAACACACATTCTAAATTATTATACTAGACTCTACGACGTTGGATTTGAATATAATCCGCGAAATTTGAGCATATCAAATTCGTACCTACTTTGTTTGTACGTGCCATAACATACATAATGTTTCTGTCTAACCCAATAGTCATGACGGTATTTTTTTTATGTGTTATGTAAATTTGTCGCAAATTAATAGATAGTATTCCGCATCATTATTATCACGGAAGTATTTAATATTCCGGAAATGATTGAGAGCAATGGACTTGGCAATCAATGTCAGCTGCGAGGCAAACTAGTTTTGATCTCCCTCTTTATAAATATTTGCAAAGCTGCAAGCAGACACCTATTTTAAACCTACTACAAAAACATTAGAGTTCAAAATTATACCTATGTTATATGATACTTCCCCATTTAAGAACATATTTTGATTACACCCTGCTGATCGAATACCATAAACGTTAATTTTACTGTATGCGGTAGTTACTTAACGGCTATTCTTAGTGTATATAAATTGTTAAAATGTCTTATATAAATAAATGACTGATAATGTTCCTATGAAATTTCACCCATATATTTCGAACCTAAAACCCAGCTTGCTTTGTACCAAGCAGTTTAAATAGGTAGACAGACCACAAACGACTTATAATAAAGGCTAACTCGACGAACTTTTTAAACATGAAACAAAAACAAAGTCGATTTTTTGCATAAAATGAACTTAGAGGTATTTAATTTAAAACAAAAAAAAGTCTTAAATGTCATTCTTTATTATTAAATAGACTAATATATACTTAATTTATTCTGACATTTAACTTTAATTATCGTAAACCTACACAACACTTTTCAACGTTGTATATTCACTTAAAAACTTCGAAAGAATGAAGTTTCAAATTATGTATTTGGTACTTTTTCTGTATCCTTTTCTTTTCTCTTCAACAACTTTGAGCTAATTTTGATGATTCCTGTTTAGGTACATTTAATACAATTCACTTCCATACTTAGTTTTCATTATTTTTGTCATCTATAAAGTTGGTTTTTGAGACAACCTTGGCAGTGTGACAGTCGAACACATCACCTTTCTATAATGCCAGGTCTGATTGTCACGCAGACAGCTTGTTACCCCGGTACAAAGCTATGCTATATTTTAGCCTTAGTCCAGTTTTTTGTTGTGTATTTTACTAGCTGTTGCGCGCAACCTCGTTTGCATCGCACTTACTTGACATTTATTTCACCCAATTCACATAATATCTTTTTAATTATTGCCTATATGTTATTTTGATGTATGAGCTATATTACTGCAAAATATCATCAAAATCCGTTCAGTAGTACTTGCATGAAAGAGATACAAATATCCATCCATCCATACTCACAAACTTTTCCTTTTATAATATTAGTAAGGTTTACTTCAAAGCTAGATAGCTATATCTTCTCGCTAGAGAATAGCTAGTTCATTAAATAAAGGTCGCGAGAAAAAGCCAGTCCAATTTCCGTTCAATTTCCAGCAGAATTATAAACGCTTTCTTACTTCTCTGTGAAGAAATTAAGTTCATTATATTCGTTGGGACTTCTATCTAGCGCCCACAAGTTGTTAGGGTAACCTACACATATTACGAACCCCATAGGTTCATATGAATGAGTTATTGGACAAGTAATTGTATAGTAAGTATATTTATATTACTGTTCTAAAATATAGTTTTTTTTTAATTTAACATACACATTTTTATAAAATAAGATAGATAGATAAGCATATCACCACACCTTTTTATGTCTACTACACCGCAAGTGTTTACTAAGCATACCAATATATATATATATGCATGACAAGGTAAACTTGAAATTTAAATATAGATAATAAATATATCAGATCATCTAGATTGTAGTAGGCTACATTCTTCTCTAATTACAAGACAGACTGAAACGCAGATTTAGGAGGACAAAGGGTTATCATGATAATTTTATGTAGAGTCAAAATATTCAATATTCAAAAAGTACTTTATGTCTAATAACATGTATGATTTAAAAAATTGTGTTAACAACCCGTTATAAAACTTTTTTACGAGTTAAAAGATGTGTTAATTTCATTAAGTGATAATACATAGGTTCATGGTAGTTCATTACTCTCAATTTTTATACTGAATCATCGCTACATGCAAATTACCAGAAATAATAACTGTTTGATGGAGGAATAGTGCAGTATTAGAAATGTAATAATTAAATAAAATAATTGTAGAATCATTTTGTACGCTATTATTGCTAAGGCTGCGGAATGTTCGAGAAGTGTGTATATAAATTCATAAAACGAAACGATACAACATAGGTGTTCTAAATGTGGTGTTCTAATTTCAAATTGATAAATATTATTTTTAAAATACATTTAAAGGCTATTTGCGTTTGCAAACAGACAGAAAATTGCAGGTTAATCTGAAAATGAAAACTGAGCCGGCTTTCTGTTCCATTGGAATTTTCTATTTCTGTTTGCTTTCTTAATCGATGAATGGTCTATGTCATATAGATACTATGTCTGAAATTCTCTAAATCCAATCTTGTTTATAGGTAGACAGTACAGTCTACTTTAGTCAATTAGCATGGGTAGGTACATATTTTAGCCAGTAAGTTGTCTTTGTAAGATGTATTTCGGTTAAGTGTGATAAGCTAAGCCAGTGAAATTACAGAAAATGAGGGCATGACACCTTAGCAATACATGTGCGGTATCACGGACAACACATGATAAAGTGATATGTGATGCTTCATGTATATAGGCGCCGGTTACCACCTACCATCAGTAGTTTTTTAATATATTCTTAGGTAGCGAACTTTGAAAAGGGCGACCACAATAGATCTATGTAGGACAGGTCCATGCACCTGACAAGAGACCAAACAACCCAATAAAAAAATAGAAAAAATAGCATATGCGTATGATTAATCTCTGATAACGAACTCAGTCGACGTCATACAGTATCAATATCTTCCGTAGATAGGTACCTACGCATCAGTAAATATCACATTTATCGTACAGATATTAAAATATGATATATGTATATACTCACTACACTCTATACCTAAACTTCAATGTGTTTCAACAGTAGTTTTGGATGAAATTTTTACAGTAAAATTTTCAATTGGTATGTTTTAAACTATTTGACACGCTATATAAGTATCTATTATTAAATGCAAGCTAATATACATTCTAAAATACCAGATGTTATCTATAAAAATTAAATAAATAAATTCAATATAATTAAATAAATTCATGAAAAAAAAATTATACCCGTACAAAATTATGATTATTTTTTTATATATAAGAGTATGTATTAACATAGTTAATAATTATTCTATGTCTTCTATACTACTCAGTGATTCACTAAAGTGAGTAATCCTGTAGACATTTTCCACCTACTCCTATAACATTCTATTTTGAACTTTAATAATACTTTTATAAGTAACTTCGTAATTGTAATTTGTCGAAAAAGTAATTCTGTATATTATCGTCATATATGTCGTAAAAGCACGTCTTTATACGCTTGTGTGATAAAATAATCTGTATCTAAACAGAGTTTTGTTGGCATATTAACAGATTTTTCTATCATAATATTATTCCCAATTAGAGTGAGCGTCAAGCGCCGTTCCTAACATGTCGTCTCATTACGTAACACCCACATACCGCCGACAATCGATTTTTGCCACGGCCATGGTCTCTCTACGCATGCGCCAATAACTTGACTCACACATCCCCTAAAATTGAAAAGCACACATACACATCTTTTCCATTATCTGGTAAGCTTTTATGCACCTTGCCGCCTATACCTTTAGGTACACAATTGAAAAGCCTGTAAAATATGGTATTTTTAGACGATACGTACCTATTATGGCGAATACAGTCGCGCCCTCTCCCATACAAATAGGAAAACCAGACAGCGGAAGGTTTTCTCTTCAATATATTTTCTGAAAATCTACGTTTTAAAGCACCTTTCTCGCGTTAATCATCATCTAAATATCGGATTGGAATAGTGTGTGTTCATATCAAATTTTATGTGTTTGATAGGGGAGTTATTTTATAAAAACTGTGACTAAAAATAAACTGTTCCTCGATATACTCGTAGGGAAATCTAGCAGCCGCTTTCCATTCATAAAACACATTCATTTGGTACTGAGCTGTGAAAGAATTAAGGTCGGTCAGCACATAATTCCGTGAATCGTTTTCGAGTTCGCGAGTTCTAATCAATAATCGGGCCACCTGCTCGGCTACTTTTTGTGGCGTAAAGCATCGAACATCGGAAATGTAAGTTGCAACTTTTCCTTCAATATCAATAATTAACTATTTGTTGAATTCGCTATTCCTAATTTTATTATGTTAAGAACAAAGGACCTTACAGTTCTTTTATTTTATTTATTATTTCTTACTCGTTATGCTATTTCTTAATTTCAATTTATGAATTTTATTATTGTAAGTTAATATGAATGATATACATTATCTATATAAAAAAAATAGATATAATAAAGATAAGGAAATTGAATATTGATACCTACGCTGAATACATTGTTCATTACTAAATATAGTATTGGTCATTCACTTCACTTCATGCAATTAAATGAAATTGTCTGACACCTGTAAAATGACCTAATACTACAAATAACTGAAATAGTATAATAGAGGAGAATAAATTAATGGACAGCAGTGGACAAGAAAGTGTTTGTACAACTAGTTACTGTAAAAAAAAGTATAAAACAATTAAAAAGTATAAAAAAATTTAGATTTATATTTTACAATAACGCAATATTTGCATCCGACGGGAAAGGCAGTATGATAACACTGTACCCCGGTTTAGTTTGCATTGTTAATTGCGTTTACAATCCCCGGACGTTATTCTGAAATTTATATTCAACTGTATAAATATTTTGTTATGCAATAGATTGTAACTCTATTACGCCCCTGTAATGAAAGTCGTAATACAACTTACATCCCATAGGATTTATTTTATTTTATGTTTATTTACAAAAACGTATATCTCATAAATCTTTTTATGTGAATAATTCTAAAAATATGTAAACGATGTATTGAAGTTAATTTTTGTACTTATTCTTCAGCATGGGGTGGCACACTGTTGAACATATGCCTCTCCAACCCTTTTCTACGCTGCACGGTTCATGGCATGTCGATACCATAATTTTTTCCATACCATATTCTAGGGTTGTTCACTAATATCATCGGATGATCTGATTGGTGGTCTACCTATACTGCTTTTCTTCACTTCACGGGGTGGAGTGGCCCACAAAGCCCAGGAGGTCAAAAGAGCAGGGACGTTTTTTTAGTAGAACAAAATAAATTGTAACATATTTTGTTCTAATAAAATAACGTCCTTTATATAAATTAGGGTACAAATGTTCGCCTCATAATCAGGAGGCATTCAATTTATAATTTTTTAATGAAATACTAAATAATAATGAGAAGATTGAATGTTATTTACCATTTATGACATTTTACTTAGAGCCATTTGTATAGTTAAATTTTAAACACACGTAGAATATATTACATTATTATTATATATTTTTATACTAAAAAAGTATTTGTACTTTTATTATTTTTAAGTAGGTACCTACATACTTTCTCTCATGACATTTTTGTCGAATTATTCTCTTTAATAATTTATTCTTTGACTATATACTCAGAAATAACGCAAATTCCTTAAATTTCTGCTTGTTTAATTTCATTTTATGGCTGAAATATTCTTAAGCTCAAGATCGTCGGGTTTTTACAGCGTGGTTAGCGCTCACAAAGAAAGCAATTCGCCGCGTCTTGAATATATTATTGTAGTATAAAAAAATACCTTTGAACGCCTACTAATAAATAGGTAATTTATTTTATTAATATACCTTTATGTGTAGTAGCATTATAAAGAAATTGAGGGAGCTACAGTTTGCTACGAAGAAAACTGAAACAAAATTCGGTCTGTTTTTCTTCAGCTTAAACACTGATTTGAGAAATAATTCTTTCACTGTTTTATAATGGATTTTATTTTTATTTATTATTTATTTAGTTAAAACAGAAAACATGTGTACTAATTTACTGACGAAACGATGATATTCATAGAAGTATTAAACTGTGTTGCAAATATCGACGCCCTCCGCCGAGTTTATATAATTCCAAAAAGTATTTTTTGGTATGATTACATATTTACGTGGTATGACACTACCAATCACGTATCGTCTAATAAAATTACAAAATATTTTAATAGATACCTTAATCCAGAGAGACATAGGCTATATATTTTGCTGTAGATTCTATATAGGCTATATACCTAATATAGATAATTTGTAGGTTAGCCGATAACTTAATTTAATGAATAAACTAATAAGACAACTGACCGACCGAGGCTCTTTGTAAAAAGTCGTTGGAGTTTTTTTTTTACTACTCTAATACTGTTGATCGTAGCTGGCCTTTACAACTTTACTGGACGTTAGGGGGCGAGTGCAGATGGCACTCCAAACCAGCGGAAGGACTTATTGAGCAGCTGAAGGTCAACTCCTGCCTGCCGGAACGGAACCCCTAACGTTGCTCACGTTAGGGGTTCCGTTCTCATGCCGTAATTCTTCAGCTCAGGCCGTAATTACGCTATAATTATATATAGTCCGCTATAGTATTCAGATACTTGTACGATCACAGGCAAAGATAACCACTTACCATCAAGTGGGCCGTCAGTTTATTTACTATTCCAATTACAAAAGAATTTATTTTTATAATTGTTTTTAGATGTCATTTAAATTTTGAGACTCGGTGTTTTCTTTATATAAACTAAGTTACTAATGTTCTTATTATATTTGTCTCTAATAATATAAAAAATATAACAAATGATCGAACCCGCGCGTTCGTTCCTATTATCTTTACATAACTTTAATTCTCTATGTGGCAATATATCTAACATTTCTACTATTTATTTATAGTTGACAATTACCTACAAAATAAACATTCATTTAAGTGCCTAATTGCGTTAGGTATTCAATGAGAATTAATTAAAAGCGTGACCTTTAGAAAATAGATACTTTTACGAAACTAATAATTGAACCTTTGTAATACTACTGAGAGAAATAAATAAGAAAAACAAGAAAAGTAGGATAAATTAGGTAAGACTAAGATGTACTAATCTATATTACACATATATGTGACAATTTATTTATGAGTGCGGTTTATTAATTTAACAATTTGAATCGAACAGTCACAAAATATACAATAGTAGTATATACAACGTGTCTCCATTTCTCTGATTAACTCTCGGTGATTGAAACGTCCATAACAAATTATCTTTATTTTTTTATGGATAATTATGAAATAATTATCTAGTTGCAAAGATAGACAATATGTTTAAAGATCAATCTACTATAAATAGGTACTATGAGTTTTAAATAATTAATTTAATTTTACTACATAGTATCAAATAGAATAGGTATCCACTTATTTGTGCCGTTTGTTAACTAATATAAAGAAGTCCATTATGATATCCTCTTTTTATCTATGTATTTATTATTTTATTGAACTAACGATTATAAACAAACTTAAAAACAATCTTTCCCCATAAGGATGGTGTTGTTTGTATAGATTTATAGTTCTAAAACTTGCTTTATAAGCTGTTTCAGGTAAAGGGTTCAGATAAGGAATTTACTATATGTAGAGGCATAGCATATTAGCCTTTCGAAATGTGATGTCTGTAGTGCTTTCATGTATATAAGCGACTATTATATAAATAAAATATACGTTCCTAGAATTAAACTAAATTCCAATAATAAAATACAAATTGTAGCTACTATAGATATATCTAAATGGCTAAAGAGAAATTGTATTGAGGTAAACCAATTTTTGCGTCCTATTTTGATTCAATTCAATTTGTATCGGATATAGTGACCACGACACAATGGAAGCGTGCCCAAAAACCTTTTAGCCGAGAAAATATCCAATGAAAATATCAACTTCATTTATTTATTATTTACACCACCACTAAGTAGGTAGGTAGGAAAATATCTAGATATATTAAATTTCAGTTGTATTTTCTCATTAATAAATTGGTATTTGTAAATATCTATCTTATATATATTATAAAATTCTCGTGTCACAATGTTAGTGTACCATACTCCTCTGAAACGGCTTGACCGATTTTTATGAAATTTTATACGCATATTCAATAGGTCAAAATTTTTTATTTATATTTATTTATAATGTGGCATTAAAATATACATGCAACCCTATTTTTTAATAGTGATTTTAAAGTATATAGTAAAATAAAGTTTGCCTATAAGTTATGATTATAAAATATACATTTTACTATATTCAGTTTGTTGACTGGATAACTTTTGATTTAATCCAATACTTCAAGTATTAATACCTATTTTAATTTAATCTCTTTGTTACATACACTAGCTGTGTCCGAGGTTTTACCAGCATGAAATTAGCATACATGTTCTAATGATTTATATACCTAAGCTTAATTATTGTGAAGTTTTATTAACATCCATTCAGCAGTTTTTGTATAAAAGAGTAACAAACATCCATCCATTATTCTCACTAACTTCCACGTTTATAATATTAGTAAATATTAGTCTAGACTACGCAGGACTGAGATGTCGTCTCTCCGTACCTTGTAATTTCACTGCCATATCTCACCTTCAACCAAAGGCTAGAACGTATAGGTACTAATACATATCTATCCATACAAATAAATAAAATTAAACTGTCCAGTTATAATTTCAAATATATACCTATATACGATAATAAGGCTAAACTCTGAAACGTCTGAACTTATTTTGAAGGGACTTTCACTCGCAGATAGCTAATTTTACTTGAGATATTTTATGTATTTTAATTCCACGCGCACGATGTCGCGGATTACAGCTAGTTCTATATATATAATTAAAAAATATAAAATTAATAATATATACATATATATATATAGAAGTACCTACGCAGATCAATATATACATATAATACAAGTTTACGTCGGCAGTATAATACCTCATTCCATATTTTTTTATGTTTCTTTATAAATATAGATCGATTTTGTGTACATTGTACATTTGGGCGTATTTATTTTTTGAAATGAGTTGGATAATGGAAATAAATATTTGAGAAATCGCTTAACTACACTTTCAATCTCTTTTCTATTTATTTTGTGTAATCATCTGTACATATGTTTTAGATCAAATAAAATTCTCATCTTTTCAAGTAATGACAAAGAAGTCGTTAAATAGAATTCATTCATTCATTCATAATTTAAAACCCACGCATTTGTTGATAAATATATATAGTCCACGATGTGCCATCGTCTCTTTAAGTGTTAATACGACACGACACCAACTTTGTCCTTAATTTGCTTAATATACTATATATAATATGCTACTGTGTATTGATCTTCCTCTTTCTCTTTTACCGTCTATTTTTCCTTTAATAATAATATTCATTTTATTTTAATAATGTATTCATAAATTCATCGTTCAGTATTAAGTGTCTCAACTAAACTTATACAAAAGTCTATAATTATATAATTTATTCCCGATAATGACACTTAACAATTTTAAATAATTATGTAAATATTCTTAATTTAAATTAAATACGTTTTAATTAATTTTTTTTTCTATCGTTCATTAGGAATGCAGATTCAGACAAGAAGAATAAGCAAGAGACTTGGATTTTGCTATTTAAAACAAACGTTTCACATTAAAACATTAAACATATGAGCTATATATTTAATATTCTTGAGTTGAGCATAATAAATATGTCATAATAAACAGCGCTCATCAACACCCGTTCTTTAGTAAAAACATAAAGATATAATTATATAAAAACTTTAACCTATAAAAAAACTGTATACTTTATAACAAAGTTATATATTACCAGTTTCAAGAAGTAAAACAGAATCCATACACTCTTCTAGCTCTGACCGGGCTTAACTGCCTGGTAACTGGTCGAGGTCGAGGTTACGCTGAACTATTGAATATAGGTCATTTAATATAGGTCGTTCACCTATTTAATTAAATGACCAATAAAATTCTCTTCTAAAAATACCTACCTGCAACTACTAGGTATTGTTATTAAAATACCTAGTAAAATTATAGAATATCTTTTTTTAAAAAGTCTACTTCGTTCTGATCAATATGATAAATGTCTATCTATCGTATGTTTGTTACCTTTCCACAACTAAATCGAAAGACGAATTGTAATAAAATTTAACGTGAACTTAGACTATATCACAAGGTCAAATTATCAGAAATATATAAAGTCTATTCGCCCACCCCGATTTTACCCGGGTGCACATGTCATTGTAAGTTTTAAGTATATTAATATAATATGTAAACCACTATCAAATAATGTACTATATGTAATTAACAAGGTTCATTACAGTTACCCCTCAAACAGTGAATTTCTCAAGTCGGTACAGTCGCTTTTTTCTTTTCGGAATCGGAGTTTTCTCATAATAAAGTCAACTCTATGCATTTATAAAATTACTATCTCTATGCAATATTATTACATATCGATATCAAGTAATAATTTAACATAAACTCTATATACATAAATGGTTCTATTCCAAGTAATAAAAATGGTGCTATCAAATCAAACCATGATGCCTATGCAAATTGACTACTATTATTACTGAACAATTTTTGAAAACAATAATAAACATAATAGAATACATTTTATAATACATAAGTACTACAGTGGCTATTCAATTTACAGTTCTATTACTGAATTATCCTCACAACATCCAAGTTTAAAACTTATCTTTTGAAAATAAACAGCTAATTCAGAAACTTTATTAATTAGATTTATTCTGACAAAATGTCACCGTCACAAACTAAGTTTGTATTCCTGAATGGCAGATAAATTTATTTATGAAGTAGGTAGGTAGTAGGCACTTGTGCAAAGGTCACTTTATCCCGCTTATATTACAGGTGTTATTTGCGAGGTACTTTGATGTTTAAATGTTTGTTATTCAATCGTGCGAAAAGTACCAAATGAATTCACTAGTGATATTGAGTTCTAACGTCATACCATGAATATTATTATATTCATTTACTTTATTAACCACTAAAATTGGTACAAAAGGTGGACTTAATGCTATAGCATTCTCTCCCAGTCAACCTTTGGGATGCGCAGAGATATTTGATTGCGTTCAAAAGAATAAAGAATTATAATATATATTATGAATATTATCTTTATACAAAATTTAAGTCTGCACTTCATTCAGAATGTTATTAGCTGTCAATGTTGTTTTGTATATTTGTTACTTCTTTATTACACAGTAAAAAATTAATTAAGCAGGATGTAAAATGCTGAAGAAGTGAAACAGTCAAATAAAGTACTTATGGCCCTTAAGCAAATAATTTCTCGTAATTGAGCTACCTATCGTCTATCTATAGACGATTGGTAGGTTTTTGGTAAAATACAAAGTTGGGCATAAATGTTAACCATCGCCTATGTGTATGTATATGTAAACAGCACAACAGGTCATTATGTGAGGCCCGCGATATCATTCATGCATTACTATTCCGGAGGGCTAAGAGATCGTATCTTCTTCCCATTCTTGCCTGTGCTTTCACTACGTTATCTCAGGCTTCAACCGAAATACATCTTACAAAGCAAGTTGCTTGCTGCTGAAATAGGTAGAACAGAAATATCTGAACAGATTAATTTGTACAAAGTGTAGCTCGTTTGAAATTATTAACGGTTATGATTATCTATATTGACTTAATATCTTCAAACAGCTAATAAATGTGGCCTCGTCCCTTAATTCTGATATGTGTTGCGTAGGGCGACGGAGGGCGGATTGGCGCCAGCCGGCGACGGCGAGTTGCCCGTGGGCGGGCCAAAGACGCCTCAACAGATCGCTGCCCAGCGTCGCCTCCAGCAGACGCAGGCTCAAGTTGACGAGGTATGTTTATCTTATCTTACTAATATTATAAACGCGAAAGTTTGCAAATATAGATGAATGGATGTTTATTACTCTTTCACGCAAAAACTATTGAACAGATTTTGATGAATCTTTACAGTAATACAGCTTAAGCTAAGCTGCATTACTGTAAAGATTCATCAACGATCATTCATACGTCAGAATAACACATAGGGTATAATTTAAAAAGATATTATGTGAATGGGGTCGAATTATAATATTAAATTTTAATTGTGATGCAGATGAATGCGCGGGTCATACAAATAAGTAATAATCATTTAAAATCTTATTCGACACGTAATTTCAGTAAAGAAATTTATATACAAGCATGAATAGGTAATGTTATATATGTTAAGTGTATAATGATTGGGCCAATTTGGATATTTTTCTCATTAATATTCCTTGAAATTCAAGATAGGAATCCATTTGGTGAAGTGAGAAATTAGAATTACGAGAAAATAAATATATTTAAAAACCTCTATAATTCTGCTTATTGTAATTAGGAAGGTAGTGGACCTTCCTAGCTATTAATTTCAACATTCCAAGGACTGGATTAGAATGGGGTAAAATGCATTTATAGGGCTAGAATGAGATTAAATGGGCAGGAATGAGGTAGAGCGGAATAGAACGGAGAAAATTGAGTAGTAAAAAATATAAATACATAGAAGATGATATACAAGGTACCTGGAAAACTTCAATAATTTTGCAAAAATAGAGTTTCAAAAGATTTCTTTACTGTATGTACCTTGCAAAACACCGTAAATATTTAAGTAGGCTTTAAGGAAAATTACTTCAATCCCCTAAAGTGGTGATCCAGACACTGAGTAAATGACTCTTTACTCAATTCTTTTTCCATATTGTTAGAAATATTTTCAAGGAAAATACAGCAATAAATCAAAAATAAAAACAATATAACCCAGGATAATACACACACTATATAATAGATAATTCATACAGCGTAATCTAGTCCCAAGATTAGCAGAGTCAGTGTTATGTCTACTAAATAACTGATGTAAATAATTTTTTTTGTAAATACACATATAATATACACTCAAACCAAAACAACAGCAATCATATCATGACAAATTATTGTACTGCGAAGAAATGAACCCGCGACCATCGGAAGTAAAGCGGCATGCGTTAAACGATCGATGCCGTGGAATATCAATAATTATAATTTAGTCGAATAATTTACAATAACATTGAGATTATACTCAGAAGGCGTACTATATTGTATCCCAACTATGGTATGGGGCAATAGTAATATTGAAGATAGAAAACCCTTGCACCAGGTCTTGCTGATACACCACATATGATAGTCAGAGTCAGAGCAGTTAGAACACCAGGAAGTAGGTGTCATAACTGCTCTGACTTCATTATTATCATATGTGACATCATCTATTCTTGTCAGAAAGGTTGAAGAGTAATTGTCTGTCATGGTATGGGCATGTAATTCGTAGAAATGAAGGTAATATTTTAGCAGAGGAAGGCCGAAGAAAAGAGATGGATGGAATGTGTGAAAGATGACATAAGAAAGGGAGTAACTAAATAGATTACAGCGAACAGGGATGAATGGAAGAGAATAACATATTACGCCGACCCCAAATAAATGTCATAGGGAAGAGGTAGCCGTCATCATCAAGAGAATAATCAGTTCTAACCTCCTTTCAACTTATTATATCATTGGAATAACAAACAAGATGGCGAATTATACATGAACAGCTCTACGGAGAAAGCGTTATCATGTGACAATGATCCTCTGGAGTTATGTATTACAACCGAAAAGCACATATTACAAAGGTTGTTGCTTGGCGGCGACTTGAAGTGAGCCACCCACGTAAACGGCTTTTTAGGGTGTACATTTGCTAAAACTACAGATAAGATAATAGTACATACCACAATCAGAGTGTATAAATACACCTTAACAATATATATAAACTTAAACAGCCATGAAGATCATTGTTGGTTATCAGTTCGGTTGACCGAAGAAGCTTTTTAAGTAAATATTGTACGTTCACAATGGAAATTTACAATAACCGAAATATTTAAATCCCTAGCTTTTGAGTTCCTAGTTTATGAGTATATTATCTGACATAAAGTCTCGATTCAAATGTCTTTTATAAATAATATGAGTACTTATACAAATATTTTTGTCAATTCAGAAATAGTTTTGACTTTTTAATGGGTAGTTTACTGCGGTTATTACTTCCAATTTAAAGAAAACTTATACATATTAGTAAAATATAAGTGATATCTTTTTTTTAACTGAAATACTTTTAACATACTTGTACAACCTTACAGGTAGTCGACATCATGAAAACAAACGTAGAAAAAGTGTTGGAGCGAGATCAGAAACTCTCAGAACTGGATGACAGAGCAGGTAAGAAATGTAACATTATCTATTCACGAATTCTTACCACAGATATTGATTTAATTGACAATTCATAGTACAGATATTTATATCTAGATAATGTTGTAATAATTTATCTTAGATAAAATATAACTATAAAAAGAAAATAATTCCATTATTTTCTTATGATCTTATACTTATATTTTATAATTTCTTAATTAACTTGATCAACGTGACATGTGCTCTATTGAGGATAAACAGCAAACATTATTTCTCTTAACGCATGGGATTAGGGACTATTTTTCTGAAATTTTTCTGAAAACTTTTATCCCATATTGATGAGATAAAAGAAATTTGAAAGTTTTGAGAATTAAATTGATATGATCAACACTATTATACATAGAGCATTGGCGACGGCACAAATACCGGCAGTACTAGAGCCTAGTGGCATTGTTCGCGAAGACGGGAAACGGCCTGATGGTATGACTCTGGTCCTGTGGAAACTCGGAAAATGTTTAGTCTGGGATGCCACGTGTGTGGATACATTGGCACCAAGTCATGTGTCTGGATCGTCCTCTCGTCCTGGCACGGCAGCAACACAGGCGGCAATTTTAAAAAGACGAAAATATACGAATCTGGAGGGGTCGTATTGGTTTTTACCATTTGCCGTGGAGACGTTGGGCCCATGGAGCCCGGAAGCCAAATTGTTTTTGACATATATTTCAGCGCGGCTCATTGAGGTTACTTGTGACCCGAGAGCTGGTAGCTATTTTGCCCAAAGGCTAAGTATGGCCATTCAAAGAGGCAACGCTGCCAGTATCTTGAGTACGCTGCCTCGATGTGCCGCGTTGGATTACAATGATTGTTTTTTGTAATTGTTTATATAGAAAATTTAAAAAAAAAAAAAAAAAATGAAAAAAAAAAAAGAAAAAAATTGATATTTACATTTAATATCATTTTAGTTGTTACACAGTTGAGTAAAGTATTAAGGTACTTAAGTATTTCATAGTTATATTACATTATAATAACTACTCCTATTTCTTCAGATGCGCTGCAGCAAGGAGCTTCGCAGTTTGAGCAGCAGGCTGGCAAACTGAAAAGCAAATTTTGGTTGCAAAATTTAAAGGTATAACCACAATATATATTATACTATATATTACACTATAATTATGACATAAACCATACTTAGTTAATATATAACTTAGCTCTCAGCCAATTAAATATAGTGCTTATAATATATAAATGAAAGCATAGCGTAATATCACTGACTAATTAATAAAAAATCTTTATATTTGTTTACCGAGCAAAAATTTTTGATTTCCAATATTTCACCAATGATAATTACACATAACTTATATCTTGAAATCGACATTAATTTACGAATATATTCCTATAATTAATAAATTCAACACACACTTAAAAAAGTAATATTTCACTCAATATTATATTTTCCAGATGATGATCATTGCGGCTGTAATTGGAATCATCATTTTGGCTCTAATCATTGGTAAGTCGTAAACACACACTAACATACACCCAAAGTATCTATAGACAATCAGTGTATAATTTATTTTATTTTAAACTAACCACATTTTATTTTTTTTAACATTTTCAGCCAACTTTGTGTGAACAAGTTTTCGGTAACCGAAGTTTAATTTAGAAGTTAATTGTTATAATGTTAATAAATAGTAATATAACGTACATTGTTACTTTCTTATTGCGTTATTGATACTAAGCCTTTATTGGTAAGTGGGCAAACTATTTGTGGTTGTTGGTGATAAGTGTTGGCTTTCTCTGTTCTGTCACTTCGTATGTTTGTCTCTATTGGTGAATATTTTAATACTTCGCTGTACGGGCTGTTACTTCATCTTAGAGCTCTTACAGAAGACCGTCACATTGTTAACAATACGAAAATCTGCATCTACGGCAAATGTGTGTGTTGTTAACAAGGAGTGGTCCATGTGTAAGCGTGCTTAAAATATTGGGAGATGAAATAGACCAGATTCATATATTTAACAAAAACTTAAAGTATAATATTCTGCTATTGAAATTTCAACACATTTAGTGGTACTTCTAGTTAGATATTGTATTAGTTACGTTAAAGCGTAATGTTCCTTATAATATTCAATATGTGACTATTTCTATACTTCTCCCATATTATAATGATATAAGTAAAGTCCCGTATGAAGTCCAGTAAAAGCTGCCAGTTATATCAGTGACTTTGAGTGCTGTTACTTTATACACGTGGAGGTGACAGTGTTTTTTAGAAATTTAAAAATATACTGCAAATATATTTTTTTGTACCAATAACAATTAATTTAGTAAAATATATAGATGGTTACAAATATGATACATGCATAATGCATAGAATTCCAACACAACATATTTTTTTAATTTAATTGCCCTTTGATGGTAATTATAGTGATATGACTAAAGATGACTAAAATTATAACTTACCAGTTCTCTGGGAAACTTAAACTAACTATTAATTTACTCATTACCAATTAATTTTCATTAGTTCGAAGTAGTTAGAAGGGCAACGATTGTAAGAGTCGTTTATTATTACTTTGGTTAATACTTTTAAGTAAGTATATATAACGTCTTCGATCTCTTACAACGATAACTGTCTAGACATTTTCTACAAAATGAGACTAAATATTACTCTAGTAACTTAAAAGTAGTAGCATGTATATGGTTAATTGTAAGGATGCTCGAATGCGGCACTCGTATTCAGGTAACCAATCAACTAACCCAATGTATATTACCAGCCTAATACAGAATGCAAAAAGGTTCGAATATAACATTAATTTCTTTATTACCAATTTCATTTACAATGTATTTGCAGTATGTTTATAAACCTATTATAAAAAATAATATAGAGTACTACTCTAAATACTCAAAGCATGTACATTTAATGTCACTTGTATAAATGGCACGGAAATGCTGAGCTTATTTTGCAAAATTAAATGTGTTCTAAAATCTGAAATGTTTTTATATCTTAAAAAAAACTACTAACGACTAAATTATTAAATTATTATAATATTATATTATTCATATACTATTACTAGAATTGGTGAAATGCTTGAAAATTATACTTTATCCAAGAATGCGATGCCTGTAAACCCAGAAATCCCAGTTTAGTTCGCTTCTTCTTGAATAAACAACGCACTTCTAATTATAACTGATAAAGTAAACCTGAAATACTGGACATCTATGAATAAGATATCGACAATGTTTAAAAATACGATACAGAACAGAATAAATAATCTATTAATTGTTAGTCCAGAATAATATTTCAGAAATTATTTGTATCTAAGACAAATATATTAACAGAAAACTAGTAAAAATATCATTTACGATTATTTGTGGAATAACTGTTCTAATGCCTAGTAGTCACAATATAAAACTCCATTCCCTTATATCCCACATTAATATCTTTTTTATCTACCAATGTCACTATACAAGATTCATCAGTCAGTTTTATTTATTTCAAATTAATAACAAATGTTATGAAATTTAATAAAAACATGAGGATGCTTTTATATAACCGAAGCTGATGCTTACATTCTTGTTGATATATTTATCTATAAATGAAATATATGTATACCTAAAAATACATAAAAGTTAATATACATAACTTTTCCAAATTTTCTACTGCTATATTTTAAAATTAATGTTTGTTATGTTTAATCATTTGCATGAATACAGAATACAATTTAATATATACTGTGTAAATAATTGCAAATTGTTTTATGAAATATAAAACAATTATCAATTGTCCCATAAAACACAATTTATTACACATATCTGCAGCACATTTTATACATTCTAATTATGAAACAGCATTTGTGAATATTGTCTTTTATCGTACCTCTGTATACATCTATGCAAAAAAACAATAAATATTAACACATATTTACTATTTTCTAGGTCTGTAAACATATATATTTGGAGGAACAGGCCAAGGTATGTACTCACATGTCTACAAGACAGTCATCGTTTGACTATTACTTCAAGTATATCACCCCTACTTCCTACGTTGCAATTTTATTGTTTGAAAATCTATATTTTTAAAAAAGTACATTAGCTATTATTTTTTGATAACATAGTTCTTTGTTAATTTTAAAATTATTTATTTAGTTTATGCATACGAAATAACAAATATTTGTAACATTAGTTTATATAAAAAACCTAATCTACCAAAGCTATTCCTAAATTACATTTCATTGAAATTGTGTAAAAAACTAAACGTAGGACTTTCGTAATAGAATATGGAATGAGACTGTGTGCCTATGTATGTGTAAATAAGTTTGAATTTTCAGGTTTCTAATTTGGATAGAATGCCTCTGCATGGAAAGAACAACAACCCGTTATAATGAACTCTATATCAACTATCAGTAGTAATTAGTGTTGTTAAAATATCCTCAAACAAATATCAAATTAATAAATGTATTTACTTACCGTATTTTATGTCAGGTGTCTAAAAATCACTGCGTATCCAAATTTTTGTGTACAATATTAAATTTACATTTTTTTAATAGAAATTATATTGAAAATATTGTACCGTATTTTTAGATAATACATCTTTGTTATATACATATTTTAATCTTAACTGTTTGCTACCAATCAGGTGCGTTCAAAATCTTTCTATGACTAAAGGCTAAAGTTACTTTCATACAAATGAATAATTTCGTTCAATTTGGACCAAGTTTCTTAAATTTATTGTTACTAGACGCATTTATTTTTATATCTACTTCATACAATTTTAATTCTGATCCCTGTATTTGTTGATATTTGATAAACGGAATATACGCATGTGTTTATGTAATCTATGCTTATAAAACCACTTTAATAGATGTTGATTATGAATAAGTATATATATAGATATTTAGATATAATAACATATTATAATAAACGATCCATTTAGTATCGTGCCTAATGTAAATTGAGTTTGTAAGGCAACATTGTTTGAATAAGATTGTTTTATCTGCAATCTGAATAGGGATTGTAAATCCTAATTTGAATATTTAGGTACTTGAAAACGGATGTGCTTGAAATTGCTTATTATTAATAATAATTATGTTGTTTCATACATTTTATTTTTATTTAATGTGTAAATATTACTAGGTTTTGATATATAGAGAATAAGGGAAATGTATTCAACAACTGAGTCGATCATTATCCTTATACTTAGTATATAAATCCGATGTTTATTTTATATTTCACACAGACCATCCTCGTTAAGTTATCTAAAATAATACATAGGTGTTTTATATGACTTCAGTTTTTGAAACTATTTCTCTTATCTGTATATTGGTAGACATACCTTTAATACAGTATGTACCTACTAATAACCAAAATATACTAAAATTTTAGATAATGAAAACAACTGCAACCTATTAAGTTAAATTATTATATATAAATTAAATAAATAAATTTAAATAAGCATTTTTGTTGCGGAATGGCATTTGTCGACTAGATCAAATCTTTCGATGGAATAAGTGGGTCTTACAAAATTATTTGTATGTTTAACGCTTTTTTTAAGTTATCCCATTACGTAAGTAGGTTAATCATTATGAATATTCAACTATATTACTTCTATTTGAAACGTATTCAAATCGTTGAATCTTAAAATATCTGGCAAACAATAATTAACCTATGTATCATATAGGTTACGTAATGACGAATAATTTATTTGTAAACACAAGTTATAAAACAACCATGGGCTATGCCTTCGTGTTTCCGAATTGGAAGAATTTTAAAACAACAAAAACATTCAAATTATGACAAGATCAAATAATATTTCACTTTAACTTAAAAAAAAACAAACATATACCAAAGAAATAGGCATTAATTAGTCATAATAAGTGTCTATAACAATCAAGTAAAATATTTATAACACGAACAAATCACACTATATATTTGAACTTTTCTCTATCTATGTATATTATGTATATGTTTTTGTGATTTCCACTTGTCTTAATACTTTGGCTATTATATCTTTTCCCCTCCATTGATAAGAAGTTACCAAAAGGTCGCCGTACAAAATGAACATACTTTTCAAAGATAACAATTTGAATTTTTACAACAATTCTACAACAAAATATATCTACCATATTGCATGTGCATTACCATAATAGTCTCTTAGAAACCGGACAGATTGTAATTCTCATGACTAAAAATCAGACTACATATATATATGTATGCTTCATTTACCTAATTTAATGCATTGTTTATGTAGATGTAGATGATATGTAAATGTAATATTGAATTGTTATAAACACTTATATAAAACTGGTGCGTTCGCGATCAGTATGTTGTATCTACGAGTAGGCAACTAAATCTGTTATTTATAAAAACGCTGAATTACTTACAAATTTATTTTATTTTAGTATGTCCTTTTCCTATGTGCTATTTTCTTAATTTGAAAGAGAGAAACAAAACACTTACAAAGAGTTTTTCGTTTTTATACTAATTTATATAAAAGTATCTTAATAAAATCTGTTTATAAGGTTAATTTTATACATAATACAATGTTTCGTCATAAAGCGGTTCTAACGGTTTGCCGCCCTATAAGTAAAAAGCGAAATTAAGTAATTGTATATATGACACATTTAATCTTGAACTGATGTTCCGTAATTATATATAATAACATTATAATTATAATATGTATAAGTAAACTCCGAGGAAAGAAATGGTTCAGATTCATGTAGCGATCACGCCGACCGAATGGCACTGTTGGTCGTGTGCTAATTATATATATAACTAACATAATATTAGGTATTAAAGAAACTAGTTTAATATACAATTAGAAATTGTAAATAACCCCCGATACAAAATACCGCAGCAAATAGAAAGAACTGATGAATCTGAAATAACATATCTTCCTAAATTAAGGCTAAGGAACATCACGTCCGCTTTCTAATAAAAAAATTCCCACAATAGTAGTTTAGGTGCTACTATACCACAGACATACAGGTACATCACGCCCACTTTTTGCGTCGGGGGTTAGAAAAACGATAACGAAATATTTACTGTAAGTACTCACCTCAAAACCAATTAGCTGGGTCAATATCTCGATGCTTGATACCAATTTGGTAGAGGAGACTTCTCTACAGATCATACTCACACATCAGCTGGCTGTAGGTACTATAAACAGCCTAACGTCCTGGACAATATCTTACTAGACTCTATCTTAGACCAAGAGTATAAACGAATCATATTCTGGTGAAAATGTTTTAAGAAAACTGAAGGAAACTCATCTGATTACCTATAGATAATTAATAGCAAGCATATTGCAGTAAGTTGGACATACAATCTAAGTAACTACTTACATCAAATTTAATGTTTCATTACCATCTTAGGTATCTAATGTTTACCGATTTAACATTGAGAGTATTCATCATTATTGGAATTCATTTTCTATTTTAATCCTAGGCTTAATACCACCTCATTTTTTGAAACACAAGTTCAAATTTCTAAGAGCCATAAATAATAATTCATTTACGAATCGCTACTCGGCTTGTGTAGATCCGGAACATGGGTTTGAAAAAGAATTGCGTGTAACTAACTTTCGCTCTTTAGTTCGTTTGTGACAATTTCTACTAGAAAAAACTGCAATACATGTTTGTTGGAAGAAAACATTTACAAGCCCAATCCAATAACCAGCCTATTTTCTGACTGAGTCAGTGAAAAGCAGGAGGCTAAATTAAACTTTCTCAGTTCCTAACTATTATGCGCAAGTCAAAATTTTAAATTTTAGCACCTATGTTGTATTACCCTATTAAAGGTCACCTTTAATGCCATAGGCCCTACGGACTCCCCTAAAATCAGGGGTAATAACAGAGGAATGATTGAGCGCGCCGTACAAAATGGAACTCATTACAAACAGGATGAGATATTAAAATTTTACTATAATACAATTTAAGTAACGTACGTTTCCCTATATTATTTATGTATAACCAAATCTCTAACTTAATAAATATAAAATTAAAGACTTTCTGCAATGAACGGACTCAAAAATTTTTAACGTTTAAAATATGCTCCATTATACATCAATTTAATGTATAATTATTTTAAATGTAATATTAAATAAGTTGCTATTTGAGAATGGAGTAGTAATGATTAATATGTTCATCAACGAGTAGGTAAGAAATTAATGCAGATCTACAAATCTCTTATTCATAACATCGTTAAATTACATAGAAACAATTCAATGAAATCTGTTTTACATGTTGAACTTTTACATTGCTTTTTTTAATTTATTGCGAGGCGGTATAAATGGTTTGTAAGATTTCCTGCCCCATAGGATAAGATTAAGTGATTGTATATACAACAAATTTGATCGAGACCCTATTATCCCTTAAATGTACATAATAAAATAATATATAATAGGTATAGGTATAGTATAGACTAGACTGGGCCAAAATATATCACTTTCGAGTAGTTGCGCCGACCGCGCGAAATCGCCGGTCGTGTGCTATTAATTAAATACGACTAGGTATAAAAAATTAGGTATAAAAAAACTAATATAATATAAAATTTAAAATCTTAAGTAGCTCCAACACAAGACAAAACCATAGTACATTTAATTCCCGACCACAGCAGACAAAAATCCTATTATTGTTTTAAATACCTGAACAGATCTTCATAAACTGTAGCTATGAACCATCTCGATTACATCATGTTTGAAACAAAGAAACCGGATCAAATCCAGTCCATTCGTTTAGCAGCTGTGATTTTACAAATAGACATACACAAAGACACGTCAAACTTCTAACACCATCAGTTACGTCGGGGTTAAAAATAATGATAACAAAAAACTGTATATAGTTATTTTCTGAACAAGCGATAGATAGAATATGATCTGTAGTTCTCTGCCCTAGGGAGGTAGGGAGGGCAGAGAACTACAGATTATACTCTAATACATGTCGGTTGTAGGGGTTAATCTTACACAACAGAAAATGACAAATAATAGCCCGCCTACTGCGTTAAGTACTCTGACTCAAGTCAGAGAACAGCAACAGACTAAAAATCGAGCACTCTTACAGTAGTTTCAAAATATTATTCATTTGGAACATAGCTCAAATATACAGTACTCAAAACTTTAAATTCACGAACGTTTTTGGCTACACACACCACTAAGTATATTACGATATTGACCCTAATTTTGTACACCACAAAATTAGGGCCAATATAGAATATACCTATACATTACTTCGAATTATTATATTCGGATCGTGAGCAAAATTTATTTAGTAATACTATTGGTAGGATAACAGGATAATTACAGTAGGATTAGTAATATGTAAATACCTGAAACTTCTCAATACACTGACATAATAGATAAATAGTAGTGTGCGATAATATACGTACACGAGATATAAAAGTAATATTAAATTAATATAATAACGTATTTATTATAAAACTGGGGCGTCGGTGGCCAGTATTCATCTACGAGTAGATAAACGTTGAAAAGATGGTTTACTAATTTTTACAAAATAACATTGTTAATTACTTCTTAATATATTTTATCTATTGTACTCTTCCAAATTGCTGGTTAGTTAATGTGAAATAGCATGACAAAATACTCACAGACAAAATAAGTTCGTATACGGTTTCGTTCCGAAGTTAATTTATATAAAAGTAAATTAATAAAGTCTGTTTGGGATGTTAATCTTTTACATTGATTTTTTTTAATTCATTATAATATAGTACGAAGGGTTTGTAAGGTTTTCCGCCCCATAGGATAAAAGCGTTAAGTGATTGTATATATAACACATTTGATGATGACTCGATATTCCTTAAAATAGAATTATGTATATTATAAAATTATATATATACTATGTATATACCAAAGACAAGACAAGTTTTTAAAAACCAAGTAGTGATCACACCGACCTTGCGAGACTGCAGGTCGTGTGCTAATATATAAGAATAATTATATGTTAATGTAATATTAGATATAAAAGAAACTATTTTTATACAAAATTTTTAAAAATCAAAAAAAAATGTACTTTTAGTTCTTTACCTCAGCAAAAAAATCTGATGACTTTGAAACACCTGAACGGATCTTCATAAATTGAAGCTAAGGACCATCTTGATATCTTCAACTTTCAAATAAAGAAACCGGTTATTACCGGTTTATTCGGTCAACCCTGCAATACCACTGACAGGCAGATACAAAAGACAAATAAAACTTATAGCACCCCTTATTTGTAAATATAGCTTAAATAAGATAAACTTGAGAATGTGGCACCTTTTCGATCACCTTTAATAGGGGCTACATACGCCACTAACATCAGGTGCAATATCAGAGCAGTTGTGGGGTGCGCCGTGAAAAATGCAGTTTATTGAAACAAAATAAGAAATCTAGAAACTATTACAACAATTCAAGTCACACACCTTTTTTTATTATAACCAAACCTCTATTGCATGGCATGTGAAGCTAAAGGCATTCTCAAAGAAACGAAGGGAAAATAAATAGAACACAACGGATACCTTTATACAGTCTTTAAAAAGTAATTTAGGTTAAATATAAGTATAAGTGGCCAGTATGTTCGAGTATATCCACGAGTGGGTAAGCGACGAAAACATGATCTACTAATACTAAATCTATTGTTGAATTCTGACTGAGACTTCTAAGCAGAATTTTTTGCTGGTAGTCTGTAAATCTTTTAAGCACACGATATCGCCTGTTTTG